ACCGGTTGGTTCGGTGATCGCGCCTCGTCGGACCCGAAGAGATGCGCGAGCTATTTTAGCCGACTTTTTATTCTGCATCCTTCGGTAGACAAAACGAAGCGTCATGTAACGCCGTATGCGCAAACTGCCAAAAACGAGCGCGGCGCTTGATTTCTCCAGGGCGGAGGTTCAGGAGTCATCGGGAAGGTGAAAGCCGCCAAATTCATCGACCCCGATGCTGATGCTCAAATACCTCGGATTAGCGGAAGCAGAATTTCTCACGAAGGTCCTCAATATGTCTTTGACCATCCTAATGTTACCTGACGTGTGGAAAACGGGCGGGGTAGTCCCGCTACTCAAACCAGGGAAACCAGCCAATAAAGGTGAGTCTTATCGGCCGATAACAGTATCCGCAGTAGGGAAGACACTTGAGGCCTTACTGCTCCCGATCTCTACTCACCATCTGCGTCCAGCAGCACATCAGCATGGCTTCCGAAAAGTGCACAGCACCACAACAGCACTTAACGCCATAAACACCCATATAGTCCATGGCCTTAACCAAAACCGACGCTGCCCGCGAACTGTCCTGGTAGCACTGAATTCGTCAAAAGCTTTTGAAACAGTCAGTCATTCAGAGGAGTCCTCATTACCGCCGGGGGTGCAGAGATGGGTCACGGGCTACCGGAGTGGTCGACAATCATCGGTAATATTCCGAGGTGAAACATCGAAACCCAGAAAAATTAACAGGGGGTTCCGCAGGGTGGTGTCCTCTGCCCTCTACTATTTAATTTTTATATTTCGAAACTCCCTCATCCACCAGAAGGAGTTTCCCTAACCTCGTATACGGATGATTGTATGATAATAGCGTCTGGACTGGATATTGATGACCTCTGCTCGAAAGTGAGCTGGTACCTTGCCGATCTTTCTCACTTCTTCACTGCACGACAACTGAAAATACAACCGAATAAATCCTCGGTTACCCTCATCAGCTGGCCGAAGGAATACAGGCTTGAACTAAATGTGAAGATCGATGATACAAAAATTTGGACTGTAAATACCTCCGCATACGATCGGGTAAAGACAAGGAAACTTTGCTGGTAACTTTTAAAGCTATTGGCCGGCTGGTCGTAAACTATGCCTCGCCGATCTGGGCGCCGGGGACAAACGAGACGCAGATGAAGAAGCTACAGGCTTGCAAGAACACCGCCCTCAGGACTGCGACAGGAAACCTCTTGATGTCGACGGAGCAAGGAGCACAATGCTTTGCTGTGCAAGCAGTTCCTATTGGGATGTTACCGCAGGGAGCACCCCATTAGGCACCTAATAGAAGCGGAACCTCCACATAGACACATCACACTAAGAGTGTACTCGACCTGAAAAACACAATCGAGCAACATTCGCCACAACCGCTGGACAGGACGGCGTTCAGACAGGCACTGAACGCCATTCACCAAGAGTTAGTCAAATCCTTCAAAGACTTCCATAGCAGACAACGTGCTCGAGCTGCCTCGAGAGACCCGCGTGACCTTGGCACAACTCAGGTCTGGATACTGACTCGACCACTGCATATCCAACGTATCTCCGCAAGTAAAGTCCCTCCCTCGGCGTGGCCGATGTCAACATCTGATGAGTCTGCCCTAGGAGTCTTCGAGAAAGTAGTTTTGCGAGCGAGTTATGGTTCTTTGCGCATTGGCAACTCCGAATACCGCAGACGAAATATCCTTCAAATTTTACCAACGATGAGCTGCACGAGCTATACTAGTATGATGATATTGGCATATTTCAGCGAATAAAGAGACAGCGGCTAAGCAGGCTAGGTGCAGTGTCCACTGGTGGAAGCAGAGGAAGAGAAAAACCTCCACCACGTTGGAAGGATCAGGTAAAGAGTGGCCTAGCTTCACTTGGCATTTCCATATGGCGTCATACAGCGAGAATTAGAGATAAATGGAGCGCTAATGTTGATTCAGCTATAATCGCTTAAGCAGTGACAATGTCAAGAAAGGGGAAGATGAATAATTGTAACCGCTTGGTCGAGCTTATCCTAGAATTTGTGTGTGGGTCTATACATTTTTCCCAACAAAAATGAGCGAGCTACATTTCATTCGAAGCCGCCTGCGAACGGCATGTACTTCTTTTTCAGCAGCTTTTACTTTATGTTCAGAAACATAATCGGAGATCATGGCATCTCATGCCGAGAAGCCACCGCAAGTTACGGCCGTTTAGAAAATAAACGTAAATAAAATGGAATCTCAGCCATAACTTGACGTACTTGGTTCTGAAGTAATCAAGAGTTAAATGTTTATTGGTATAAGCATATCTTTCTTAGTATATACTGTAGGTCCCCCCATTTGCTGAAATCATCAAGACGCAAAACCACTAATTGGAGAGGAGCCCGGCCGAAAATCGCTGCAGCGGTTTCAAAGTGCCAAAAAAAGTGCAAGGAAGTAAAATTTCATGATCTCGGTGGGCATTTGGCCTCGGACCCATATTCGCCTATGTTGTGTGGTATGCCATACCCTCTTGTTAAGGCCACATATTATCCAAGTGGTGTTCATCAATTGCAGACCAAAAAAGTCCGTTTTACTATACAACTATAACGCTACGCCGTGGTTGTTTTCAAGAAGTGAGGTTCAATCACATCTCCGAACCAAAGAGAGCAGTGTATTGACCTCTCTTCAATTATCAGTTGGTTCTGGGACTAAAAGCGAAAATTTTGCTTATGTGGGTATGCCCCGATTGAGGAATGTTCCTCCTTGCTGATGAAAATTTTATTCGGGAAAGCGCCATCCACTCTTGTTGTTCAAGCTGTACTTAATAAGGATGTAGATGTAAGTCCAAGTGTAAAATACCCCATGATGTGTGTTGTAAAGAAGACCCAGCTCTTGAAAACGACGAGGAATATACACATTTTTGTCTTCGGCTACGCAGTAGCGATATTTGAGGTGGTACAAGCAAAATAAAGATGCACAAGCCTCATAGTATCTAGTTTTCAAATTTCTTTAAAATCATACCAGTTTTCAAATATCCTTCAAATTTTACCAATTGTTTGAGTAGTCGATCGATTATATGCATCATGGCCACGTTTGAATCACTAATTTTATGGTAGGTTTCAACATTTTTAACGCGTTGTATCGTTGTGAAGCGATCATTTTTCATAGATACCTGACTTTAAACTAATATAAAATATATTTAGTTTAACAGATATCAAAGTACAACCCTGTACTTCGAACTTTATATTATTTTATGGTTGACCTGATTGTGACCATTGCTAACGATTTGTGTAGTCATATGTTGTCACGTCTTATCCAGAGTAGTATGTATAGTTATCAAAATTTTTTTATATTGAGGAAGTCAATATTGTTTGCCCTTTGAACTACGGCTTATTCGAGCTTCGACTTCTTCACTGACATTTCCGATGTGTCACACATTTAGTACTAAACATACATCATATGAAATGGTCAAGTATACGAGCCCTGACCACTATTAATTCGCACGACCAATGTTTTAACGCATATGCAATGCTTAGCACACAATATATGTGAAGATAATGCAGATAACACATAAAAACATATATTTTTCTGAAAGATAATTTTATTCTCTATTTGATAGAAAAAAAATTTTTGTTGTTGTTTAGCGTTCAACAACAACGGCATTTATTTACATACACTATTCTTATTATTGTTTCCAAACACTTGACCACTATTATTTCGTACGCTGCGCTAGCTTCGTTCAAAAGTCGCAGGCTTTCATAAATAAATTTGGTATGGATGAAAAGAGGAAATGCCTAGATTTTAATCCTATTCTCTTTTTTCTAACTGAATTATAGCCTTTGAATATTTCTATTTTATAGGGTGTTTCCACCAAGCGTAAACTCTATGTTTGCAATCGCTAGCGTGTTTAGTCGCAAACACCACCCTAAACACTTGTCAAATTGCATATATATATGTATATCTCATAACACAAACTCACTTTTCTCAGCCTGTTTGAGTTTAATTTTCATTATTTGCGATACGCGACATTTTTTTTTGTTATTTCATTGTTATAGACATACGGCAACGCTTTTTGACATAATGTGAATTTTATTGTGTGAGATTAATAATATGGCGGCCGCGGTAGCAGAGTAGCATAGCGTACTTCCTTAAGGAAGAGCCGAGTTCAAATCCTAGTGTCGTACCAACATCGAAAAAGTTAAAGAAAATTAATTTAAATAAAAAATAATAACGCCGCATTCCAAATTCCTTAATGAATGAAAGTTTACGTCTATATTGATGCTGCCAGACTACTGGTAAAATAATATTTTAGCGTAGAACCTGAGTTTCTCTGTATCCTACTAATAAACAGATTTAAATTACTTGGTTAGGCAGATGTTGCAGAAAAATAATATAAAATTTTGTGCAAATTATTAGGTATAACCCTGCAGGACAATGACGGGTTGCAGAGTATTCTTATGTGAAACTGCATTGTAAGTTGGGGGCCTTCGGCCGCGCTTTATATGGTAACTCTAAGCCGCATCAATATCGGCTTCGCCCTACGCAGTATTCTTAAATATTTGTATTATTAGGTGAAACTCTCTCATTTTCATGCAGTTTTTTATGCAAAATTTTGTTATGCAATTTTATTTTGCTTGCTTGCATATTTTTGGTAATTTTTATATTTTATTTGACACAGTACGGCAACACCTTCCAGATAAGACTGCAGCCACGTTTAAGTGAGCATTTGTTTTAATCATAGTAGAATTCGTTAATGATTATTTAAGTTGGAAAAGTTGTCGAAATTCCTAGTGGTTTGCTTGTAATATCAGTGCGGCTGAAAATTAAAGCTCAGCCGTGATTTTTAAAGATTTAATTCCCTCCTCTTATACTACTTTGTTTAATTGGTAATTCGAAAAAAGATATCACAAAAATTTAGTAATTTTTTGGACTGACACTGGGCAACACACTTACATCTGTTTGATTTAGTTTTGACCACATATTGAAAGATTTAACAATGTAAAATTTTTTACTAACCTCTTTATCTTTCAGGAAAACTGGAGTTCAAAGAAAATGAGTCGAGGAATTTAAACGAACCAACAGTAAGCAGCAGCATAATTGTTATTAAAAAAAAATAGTTTTAAAGGGATTAAAAAGTAAAATTAATAAAAAAAAATACCATTTTGGCCAAACCAAATCTTGTTGATTGCCTTCAAAAATAAATATCTGAAGATAATTATCTATTTTCCTTGTTGCTGGTGTAATTGCCTTATCTATAGCCAATTTGCTGCGTCAATTTGGTCGCCATTACCAAGATTGAAAAGAAGGGAGGAGAAATTTACCAGTTCGGCAGAGGAGACTAATGGGAAAAAGGGATATGTATAAATGCCAATAAAAACCATTTGAGCTAATTTGTCTTTTCGGCACAAAATCCACAATAGGGAGCAATTGACTGCAGGGACATTGCTAGTGTTGCTCCATTAAATAATTTTGATCGTCCTCTTATTTTATATTTAAATAGAGGGGGATTCTATAATATCAATGTCGAAGGGGTGAGTTTTGTTGTATGTATAAGGCAATGCAATTTATAAATGTTTTGTTTCTCAGGTGTGTGGTATGATGCAAGATTTAATTCGAAATCAAAATCTCATTTGAACGATAATGGCTTGGTCCAACACAAAAATTAACTTCAACTCTTTCCAGAAAATCAAGCAATACATATAATGCTAATACCCGAAACTCATTTGACCAAATTTAAGAATTTCAAAATTGATACATATTTGTTTTATGACACCAAACACACTGAAGAGAAAGCGCGCGGTGGAACTGGGGCACTTATCAGGCAAAAAATCAACAGTTATATAATGGAAGAGTACTGTAAAGACTACCTTCACGCTAAATCAGTTCATATATATGATAATTCTGGTGGAATAAACATTTCCGCCATATAATATATTGTCCGCCCCGATACAACATATCAGAAACTCAATTTACTTGTTTATTTTCTCAAATAGGTAAACGGTTTCGAGTAGCAGAACATTCCTTCTGGGGATCTAGGCTAATATCTCCAAATGGTAGAAATTTATATAAAGCCATTCAAAATAAGGGTTTCGACGCTATATCTACCGGTCAGCCAACATACTGGCCAACTGATCTCAGCAAAAGCCCGGATTTGATTGACTTTGGAGTAACTTGTGGTATCAGTGGGGCACAAGTAAGCGTAAAACCCTTTTTCGACTAATCATCTGATCACTCGTCGTGTGTATGTTCCACTCCACTAACGTAAGTCCAGTTTTAGGGCTGTTAGTGTTATTAAAATTGAGTATGTATTCGACCTTATGAACTTTGTATCCTACGCCCAAACTTTAAGAGGTATACCTCAGCTCCCAACGCAAGAAACGTCCATCCCGTCCGTTCCATCTATTAACTCACTTTAAAATACTCTAAACAACTTTGGACGTATGATGGAAAAGCATATGAAATCAATGCAAGCTTAACCAACAAATTTACAAATTGGCTTAGATACCGAAAATTCATAAGTGCGAGTCTAAAATCGCTAATTTCTCTAAAATCAATAGCAGATGTCGACAATGCAGTTGATGGCTGTACAGCATTATTACATCTGGCAGCGAAAATTTCAACGCACGACCCACCCCACCCCTTCAGGGTAAAGACATTACAAGCTAGTAACCAAAAAAATACAAATTAGGCTTTAAAAAATGAGCTTCAAAACTTCCGTCACTTGAGACCCTCCATTGCGAATTCACAATGGTGAGTGGACTCGAAGCGACCAGTCAAAGGGCATCTTTCTAGTGTATTTACACCAAATATTGGATACAAATCTCTGCCAGAATTTAATTTAAGTCACTTAAAGAAATTATTACTAACGACATAAAGAAAAAAGGGCTCCTGGATACGATAGGACAACGGGTGTTATGATAAAAGAGCTTCCAAATGTGGCAATTAAACACATGCTTTGTACATATATTTAATAGTATATTGAGACTAAACTATTTTTCTAAATCCTGGAGGCTTTCGAAGAATATTATGATCCCCAAACCAGGTAAAGATCTATCTTTTTTGTGCTCCTTTAGCTTAATTGTGGTATTCTGAAAAATCTTCGCAAAACTTTTATTAAAGAAAATATTACCGATTTTAGAATCGATGTCTTAGAAAGTTTTTTTTATTGGCAGAAAATTTCGTGTCAGGCAAAAAAGTTACACCACCGAATTCTATAAAAAATTTGCTGGTGTTCCAAGGAAGTGTTTTAGGCCCCGTCTCATCACATCAACTTTCGCGGATGATATACTTAGTGTCTATTCAATATCCATGACAGCCAGTTACAGATTACAAGAACATTTAAAAGTAATAGAAGAGTGACTAACAACTAGAATTAAAGTCAATGAGTCTAAGTGTATAAGTAACATTTACCCTAAAAAAAGACACATGTCCTTCAATCTCTATAAATGGGAATACAATACCTCAGAAAGAATTCGTTACCTACCTGGGAGTTACATTGGATAAAAGACTCACCTGGAAAAACCACATAGACAAAAAGATTACTCAAACGAAATTGGAAAATGCCAACTTGCATCTGATTGTAGGCTCTAAGACCAAACTAAGTCTAGAAATCAAAGTTTTACTTTCTAATACGCTTATAAAGCCATCTTGGACGTTCCCGGATCCATATTTGTGGCTCACCATCCAAATCTAGCCTAGATAAAATTCAAAGACTGCATTCTAAAACCGTAAGATCAATATGCAAAGTCTCTTGTTATGTAAAAAATTCCACAATTCACAACGATCTCGGGATTAAAACTGTCACCGAGGAAATAGAGAAACAATATGCAAAGCCCCTTGGTATGTAAAAAAAACTCCTCATTAAGGTTATCTAATTACCCAAACTTTCTAGCTAAGAAATTATGACAGCAGAACTATCCTAAGCGGATAAAGGAAAGGATTTGCGCTTGAACTGTGACTAAGGGCTCTGCTGCATCCAATTATTTTACATCGGAGTTGCGCTCAGTATATATCCTTTATGATATTATAATTTACTTCAAATTATCCTTACAAAAAAATGCAAAGGATCTTTTTTATGTATTTGTACCGTATGTGTACCTTTTTTTGTTTTTAAGTATATTCAATTTCTCACATTTAGCTTTTTACCCTCTTTGTTTTTCAAATTAATTCTTTTTATTTATGTGAACTTCGCACTTTTTATGTATGTGTGTCACCACTTTAGTATTTTAAAAAATTCAAATTTTTTTTGTATGTATGTTAGCAAGATTACACACTTTGACTTTATTTAATATTTTTTTTTGCTTTAGTTTATTTTCTGCACTGCACATCACTTATATTTTTTTTTTTTTGAAAACGAACGCACGGGAGAGCGCCTGTTGTGGACTGTAAGTCTTTTTATATAGGACTGGTCAAGTTCGGCCTCGAAGGACCATAAATAACTTCCCATGGTTTTTCTTAGGGGTAATGCCGATTTTGTCAATCGGACCGATTAAATGAAGGGAGATGATTTTTTGTGGGGCACGGAAACTTTTGAGAATGTATGCTAAGTTATTTCTTTCGTTATTATCTACTACAAATTTTGACAAAAGAATGATCCCGAGGGAAGCCTCCGAAGTAAGCCTCCGTGTGCGCTCTTGGGAGTAGTTTTAGAAACTAACTTTTTGTTAGCTCGAATTGTTAGCTTCGCCTGACGAACTGTGGCAAAAAGGAGACAAAGGATTATAGGAGGAAACGAAAATGAAATGGAACACCGCAAACTTGTCGCTCATGGAGATCACAATTAATTAACGTTTCGCGCTTAAACATTACTTAAGATTAAAAAATTTTGGTTTTGTTGCTGTAGACGCAAAAATGTTCTCTTAAGTAGTTTTTGGGGAATGTTGCGGTTATCGGTTATTAAGAAATCCGATAAAACAAAAATACTTTTGCAACACCCGCACTAACTGACGATATGGGATGTTTCTTATTTCTAGGCACATTTTCCCCCAAAATTTTTGATTTACGTCCATTGGTGTAGCTGTTGGTTTGCAACTTCTTCTTTCTTCTGTAACTTTTTTCGACACGATTTGTCGGATCGCCCGCGAGAATACTACGAGTGGTTGAGGATACAGACGAGTCTCAGAAATCGGAGAGCTTGTCGAAGTGAGGAGTAGAGGGAGATACGTGGTTACTCAAGCCCAACACTTCCGACGCGACTTTCTAATCGTTAAAATGATTTAACAATAACTTTAACGATTTCGCTGTTCTTTACATACATTATAATGCTTTTCGGATCGCAAATGAGACTTAGCGATAATTTTACGATATTCACTATTTTCAACATGGTATAACGATCTTCAGATAGCAACTAAGATTTAACGATAATTTTAACGATTTTAATATTCGGTGTACTAATTTAAACGATATTCGCTCTCGCTGACTAAGCAACGAACATTTTTATGTTGTTAGCGGTATCGACAAAATATTATGATTTAGAATACAAAGTTTTACTTTTTAATACGCTTATAAAGCCATTTGGACGTATGAGATCTAAATTTGGGGTTCAGCATCTAAATCTAGCCTAGATTGAATTCAAAGGCTGCAGTCTAAAAACTTAGGATCAATATCGGTATTTGTATGTAAACAGTGGCTATATTCATTTCACAGGTACTGTAATTTCGCATCGTTTACAGTAGATGTCTTTTGTTTTAGCGTAAACAACAAAGAGAAAGAAAACTTGGTCAGGGAATGGAAATTTACCGGATCTTATGTTTCCTTATATGACCTCAACGTTCCAAGTCCCTTTGTCTTTGCCCAAGTCATCTGTCAGTGGCTATGTCCACGGTGACACTCTCTTCCTAACAATAAACGGCCCAACATACTTTGGGGCAAATTTGGCGTATAATAATTCGCTGCATCCGAAAGCATAAAGTTTTTCCTCCAGACTAACTCTCCTGGCATGTACTGTACATCTCGACGTCTGAGATTGTACTGCCTCGCAGGCTTCTCACGCGTCTGCTCTAGCTTCTAACATTTGCCCTAATCTCTTTGAGTGTCTTTGCTCCTCCTAAACTGTCTATGAAGTCCCTACAGCCTTCTAGCACCATTTCCCTGCGAAAATTCACAAAATATGGCGTAGCTCCTAACACTTCGTGCTGCGTTGTCCTAATGCAGCAAGCTACCTTCGCTAACTGTTGGTCCCATGTTCTCTGGCATGTAAGCCCTAAGCGTTGTCGTAATAATTTGGTTAATCCTCTCGACAGGATTAGCCTGTGGGTGATAGTGTGCGGTGTACCGGAGTTGGACGCCAAAGTCACCGCAGAGGCCCC